AGCTGGCAGAGGCAGCCGCCTTACCACGCTGGCTGAATCCATGGAGGAGTGGGAAGACCAAGTGGCTTGGAGCAGGTGATGCGTCCTCAGGCTGGGGAGCGTCTTCTCTCCCTTCTCTCTGCTGTGGCTCTCCTAGGCCGGCTGCTCCTGCCCTCAGGGGTGGTAGGTAGTGACAGGTGTTCTCTGGCCAGGTCTCTTGCTGCCTGAGTTTATATAGTGACCCGTGGAGGTGATGTACACACACCTGGAAACTCCAAACACTCAGCCTCACTTCCTCCTCCCATTTCACCTCACTACTTCCTCTTGGGCAGGAGCAGGATAGCAGCTAATTGATTGTAAGAGTCTTTTCCTTTATTCTGCAATCTGTTAATCATTGGCGCAGCACTTTAGGGGCGAGGTGGCCCAGGGCAGGGAGCTGGGGTAATGGGGAGGAGGGGGCGTCCTTGTTACAGGCTCTCCACTCACTGCTACTCCCCACAGGGGGCTCTTTCGCTTCCCTCTGGAGCTTGACCCAGGACCATGTGTTTGATTCGGGAGGCAAAGGAAGATACGCCCCTGCTGAGCTTGTGGGGTGTGTGTGTGTGTGTCCCCCGGCTTTGGAGACGGCCACTTGGGACTAGCTGTCTGACTCTCTGCTAGGGCTGGTGGGCGCCCAGAGCAGAGGGGTCAGGGTTTGTGTGGGCGGGGGCCTGGTTGGGTGGCACATTTGCCTCAAGGATGAGATGATGCAGGATCTGCTCTTCTTACCGCTCTCCAGGAAGAGACCTGCCCGAGGGGAACCCACTTGGCATTACAAAGCCAGCAATAGCTCCTTTGCCCGCCCCTTTGTGTCAGGACTGCTGGTTCCTGCCCAGCTGTAACCCATCCCTGGGGCAACACTGTCAGCCGCCCGGCAGGCGTCAGAGTTGGCAAAGGGAGCCAGTCAGCTAATGCCGCTGTACAGGCCTCATCCGGGACGTTCAAAGCGCTGCACAGATAGGGAAACTGAGGCACAGAGCAGTGACTTGTCCAAGGTCACCTGGCAAGTCAGTGGCAGAAGCTCAGCAGCTGCCAAGGCCCAGGGTGGGACAAAGGCCCAACGTGCAGGAAGGGTCAAAACCCTCACAGGACTGGCGGCCCCAGGCTGCTGCGAACCTGACCCTCGCATTGCTGCAGTCGGGCATGTACGGTCAGGAAGCCAGGCTGCCCCACGACGGAGGCCGTTGAAAGCGCCTGGGGAGGTCGACGTGCCCCACTGCGGGCGGCCGGCCACGTGAGAGACAAGGCAGGGGGCGGGGCGCTGCCATACGCCTCACAGGAGCCCTTAAGCCATGGCTGGAACAGGCCCCATCTCTTCAGTGAAGCCCCCTCCCCAAAGATAATGCATTGAGGCCTGACCACGTGGCACAGGCAGCGTTGGACACACGTGGTATGGCTGATCTAGGGGGCTCTTGTGCAGCACCAGGAGATGCCGGAGAGATGGGGTGGCCCCCCCCACCCCAGAGCAGCCGGGGAAGGGTTAACATGCAGCCCAGCCACAACTGGTGAAACGTCAACCCGCAAAGCAGGCTCTGAACTTTCGACTGGAGGATCACGGGTTCCCTGCAAACCGGCCTTACCAGGCGCTGCTGACAGCCAGCTCCTTGCTACCATGCGCTGGAGTCACTCGTTCACCGCGGCTGTCACATGCTCCCGCCCGCTTGGCCCTGGATTGAGGGAAAACCCCCACGCCGCATTGCAGCTCGCTGGGCTGCGCTGGATTGAGGGAAAATCCCGGCATGGCAACTGCAGCTTGCTGGGACCGGCCCCGATGTTACCGACGGCTGGGAAGCAAGCCGGCCTGGAGCCTCGCTGAGTGGCTGAGCCCGGCCCCCTGCTCCCCTGCGTGGTGATGGGGCGGTACTCGTCAGGAGCCCCAAGGCCATGCGCTGCTCGGTGACCGGGGCTGGGCAACCGGGGTTTCCAGGTACCATCCCAGCACCTGCGGGTTCAGACAGGGAGGGAGCAGTCCCTTGCCCTTGTGTCCACCGGGGCCACGCGCTGCCAGGGGAGACACAGATCTCTCTGGCAGCGGCAAGTGTGTTCAGCGCAGGCCTGGGGCTCTCTGCGCACCCCTGCGCGTTTGACTGCTGGTCTGTCCTGCTCTGGGCGGGCACGGGGCCAGGGCTGCATACTGAACTGCAGCATTCGGCATCGGGAGCAGTGAGGCATGACCCCCATGTCCTCCCTCGGCACCTCCTAATGCCCCTCTCGCGGTCTCCCCTCCAGGCAGCACCAACCCCCAGTTCCATGGCTGGGGGATGGCAGTGCTAGCAGGGGAAGGTGCAGGCGGTCACCCTTCTGTCCAGGTCCTCCCACGACCCCATTTCTCAGACCCTAAACTCTCTGGGGCAAAGCCTGCGGCTTGGTTTGCACTGTCCCCTCCTCAGCTGATGTGTCCCTATGACTCTTCCCTTATCCCAGAGCTGGGCTGAGACAGCCGGACTATCTCCAGCCCCCGAGCAGAGACGAGATCCGGCCCCCGGTGTTGGAGAAGATGCCCCCCCGCCCCCTTTCTGCTGGGGAAGCAGCCTAGGAGCCATTGCAAAGCACCTCCATGGCCACCGCTCCTTGCAGGGACTCCCTGGGGGCCCCTGACTGCTGTTCCCCCCCTGCGTCCCAGGCTTCCCCTTCCCACGCCCCCCCCTTCCATTCAGAGTGATGGGGGGGCAACTCATTAACCCGCCTGCTGAGCAGGTGAGACCCCCCCCCACTCCCTTAGGGCCGAGGACAGCTGTTTGATGCCGCATGGAGTCTGTGCTTCCCAGAGAGAGTTGCCAGCCCTGGCTGCCAACAGGGAAGGGGCCTGCGCCCGGTCTCTGCCCACTCAATGCTGTGCATGCAGGTGAACTGCAGGGGCCCCAGCCTGGGCGAGAGGCAGCAGCTGGCCACATGAGGGTGCAGGGCATAAGCCCCGGCGCCTCGAGCTGGCAGCAGCGTCAGGCTCAGCGGGCAGAGAGCTGACCCTTCGCTCACATCCCAGCAGCACCGAGCCAATCAGAGCGAGCCGGAGGCCACGCACCCCTTGTGTCAGAGCCGGCGATGACGTCCTGTCCCAAAAGGCGCATTCCTCAGCGGCTGCTGAGCTTGGGAGCTGAAGCAAGGCGAGAAATCCCAAGTTGGGTAACACTGGAAAGGGCTGATGGGTGACACCTTTCACCCACGCACACGTGACAGGCCGGCCTGGCGGGAGCGGGTTTGAGAGAGGCTGCAGCGGCCAGGGACCCACAAGCCGGGCGTCTAGCGGGGCCTGCATCGGAGCAAACATTCAAACACAAGTCACTGCCCTGCCCCCCCACCTCGGGGCCAGGGGCAGACACACCTCCACAGTCACAAGGCCCCAGCCCTCTGACAAGGCTCAGTGCAGGCATGAAACAAATGCAGCATGGAAAGAATGCGAAACTCGCCTTTGAGGTGGCCGCTAGCCCAGGGACTTCCTGGCTGACATGTCCTGGTGCAGGAGGCTGGAGCCAGCCAATCCAGGCGTTACATGGCAAACCCGGCCTGAAGGGGCACTAAGGGGAAGATAAGGGAGTTTTGTGGGCAGGAGAGGGGGGGACTCGGAGATTGGGATCTCAGCTAATGTAGGAGCAGAGGTTTTCAAAGTCTTTCTGCTGCCGGGGAGCGAGGGCAGGGAGTGGAGAACCAGGCTGAGGCCACCCCGTCTGCAGTTCTCTGACGGGGGCAGCACCGCGTGGGCTGCTCCCTGAGCCGTAGCTGGCCCTGGCTGGATTCACTCGCTGGGCGCAGTAGAGATATGGCCTAACCCTGGCTACACCAAGGAGCGAGCGCCGTGGGAGAGAACCAGCACGGGTTTGGCTCCCCTAGGAGCTCCAGGAGTTTCAGGCCTAGCATTGATAGACTCTGGCTGCTCAGACACGAGGCCTTTAGGCCAAGGGCCACCCAGGGCGCCAGCCACTCCTGAACAGGGGGTAGAGCTGCTCCACTTTGTCCCAACCCCCTTTTAGGAGGCTTCTCCCACCTTTCTGGGGGAGGGGGTTTGCTGCCCCCTCTGCTCTGCGAGCCTCGCCCCCCAGGCAGTTCAGAGCAAAGGGCCCATAGCTGCACCCCGACTAAGGGACTCACTAATCCAGAGAGGCCAGCAAACCTTCGCCCGGCTGGTATGCAGCTGCTCACTTCTCTGCACTCTGGCAAAGCAACGCCCCCACCCCCCGGTCACTGACTACTGCATCGTTAGCCTCCATTTCTGACCGCCATTAAATGCGACCTGGGGGAGAGAGACTCTGCAGACCTGGCGTTCCAGTTCCAGCTCTGGGCGGAGGGGAAGGGCACTGATCTCGGTGCGCTCACGTTTCTGAAACGCCATGGGATCAAGGGCTAGAAAGCGTTCCCGAGTATTATTGGCAGGCGCACAGACTCAGGCTGACTTTGAGAAACTAATACAAAGTGATCCTTGTAGCTGGTCCCCTCGGAGGCTTATGCGGGGGATGGGCTGGACTGCCATGCCTTCAGGAGGGGACAGATCCCAGGAGACAGGCAGCGGCGAGCAAATGAAAACGAGCATCTTTAAAACACACTTCGTACTAACTGAAAGTGCCTCTAAACGGCAGTGGCCACAGCAGAGAGCTATTTAGCAGCAATTTTATGTAACAAAGCCGGGGTACACCCGTACCGGGCCTTTCCCTTGGGAATCTCAAGCCCAGATAGTCATCCACCTTGTGCTGCCAGCATGCTCCATTTTGCAAAGAGCGGACGGGTTTTGTACTTAGCCCTTTTTAAACCAGCAGGTTCATGCCCTCTAACTAAGTGGCCCTTGGACAGGTCACTGCTGACCCAAGCCAGACTGCTTCTGTCCCCAGGAGACGGAAAGGTTTCAGCAGCGAATGTCTGTCAGAAATATGCACTCCCTGCCCTAGGTTAGGAAAGTCAAGGTAGAGCAATGCTACTGGAAGTTTAAGAATGTGGCAGTTGCTATGGGGAAGAGGTCATTGGTCCAGAGAGCCCGGCCTCGCAGCAATGGCTGAAGATACAGGGAAAGGGGCAGCCCCATGCCTTTAACACTGGTCACCACCAGCTTCGGGAACATGCTCCCCTCCCAGTGGCACTACCAGCCAAGATACCCAAGCAGCAAATCAGGCCTTTTCTTTTTGGCAAGGTCCACTTTTTTTTTGTCCTTCAAACACCAAGGCAAAAATCTTTTTATCTGGCAGTGAATGAAACGAATCTAAGAGCAGCCAGTCAAACCCGAACTGCCTGCAGATTTTGGGAAGAGCCACTTGGGCTGTGCCCATCTCCTCAGTCCAACGTAGCCCGAGTGGCATCCCCAGACTCTCTAACGTAGGGCTAGGGAAGGCGGGAAAACCAGGAGCTGATTCCAGAAAGCTGGCGTCTCCCCCCATCCCTCCGCTATGACTACACTTGTTATTGTCACTAGTAAGAGTGCTGTGCGTCAGGTGAAAGTGGCAGACGTGCAGGAGTCTCTCGCTTCCCAGCTGAAGGGCTATCCAGCGATTGAAATATTGCTCCCGGCCTGTGTTCTTTTGGGTCTGTTTACTGCAGAGCTCGGAGTTTCATCTCATGATGAAACCTAGGTATCGCTGTACTAGGGCCTTGGATTTAAAGGCCCCTCACCCTTTGACTTGTCATTAGATGACAGCTCATCACCAGGGAGCCTAGTTTTCTGAGAATACAAAATTCTCCAATAAAAGCCATAAAAACCCATGTTTTCCCAGAATTAAAATGAAACACTGAACTTTTATAGAGAGGTATCCGTTCAATACCTTTTTTTTTGACGGTTATTGGAGCCTCCATTATCCGGCTCTCTGTATTAACTGAGCCACCAACCACCTGGGGCTGACAGTGGCAGGCCTCGGGCGGTCAGCCCCACCCCTGTCAGAGCCGGTGGTTTGGTTAATACGGAGAAACTAATAATGGAAGCGCGGATAAATGGGGTTCTAGGGTATGTTTTTTCATAAAATGTAAAAATAAAAAATTCTCTGTAAAAACGCAAATTCTGCCTTTTTCGTTGGCAAATGCATTTCTAGAATCCCTGTTCATCACTAGAAGTATTGGTGGCTTCTCCCTCGTCTGACATCCTTCATCCCTTATTTGATCGTGCAGCAAACCCTGATGATGCTAAGTTTGTGACATCAAATTAGCTCTCAAAGTAGTACAGCAGGGTCAGGAAAGGAAGCACAATCTGGAGGTTAAAGGACCGGTCAAAGCACCATGAGTTCTGGGATCCACTCAAAGCTCTACCACTGATTTGCTGTGTGAACTTGGGGATGTCACTTAGTGCCTGTGCCTCAGTTTCCCCATCTGAAAAATGGGGATAGTGCTACCTTCCTGATGGGAGTTCTGCAAGGGTTAAACAATACAGCTGATCTTCAATGGAAGTTCTGGCTGGAGCCCAGCATTTATAAGGCACTACGAGCCTCCAGAAACAGCTCTGGAGCACAAGATGTGCCACCACTAGGACGTTAACGCTAACATTAAGCAGCAGCCCAGCCATGACAGGAGCTCACATTCAGACAAACCTTAGAAGCAGCAATGCCAGCGTTGCAAGATTAAATGGCTCTGTCACTTGACCGCACTATACTACGCGGGGACATCAACCTGGCTGAAGAGCTTACAGACAGAGGGAAGAAATACCCAAAGAGACGAGGGCAGGTGCCCAGAGACCACTGCGAGGGGTCCACCCTGGGATCGTTAAGAGAACAAACTAGAAAGGAAGAACTGTTTATCAAAATACTTTATTTCAGGGAGACCCCTCAAAAAAAG